GGGGGCCTGGCCAGGGTCGGACGTTGGCATGAAGACCCCCAGTTCCACCCCTGAAACCATTAAGACTGTCCTTTTTATTTCTCTGGACGCGGGCCAAAAGAGAAGGATGGGACTGAGGAGGATCAGCTCTGAACTGGTCACCAGATGGTGCTGACCAGGGCCGTCCAGGACCAGGGTGTCCTGACCTACCTCTGACAAGAGCCGCCCACAGCTCTGGGGCTTGGAGCTACGAGCGGAAGGCGGCAGGACCTGACAGTGTGCTGGACGACAGGCCTTCATTGCAGGATGGGATGGCCAAGGGAAGAAAGAAGTGCTGGGACCTCCCCCTTCCAGCACACGAAAAACCACCGTTTTCTAAGCTGTTGGGTTGGGTCTCTCCCACCCCCCCCCACCCCTTTTCCACACAAGTTGACAGGAATGGAAACCCTTGTGTTAGAACCAGCCCATCTGTCACCAGAAGGAAAGTGCACCGGCCAGCCTGCTGCGCGCCGGTCTTCCCTCTGTGGTGTCCTGGTGCCTCATAAGTTAGCCTGCCAGCTGAGGGCGTCCCCAGGACCCAGCCGAACAAGCCAGAAAGGCTCACTGAGCCGTGCCACGGGCTCGCCAACGAGGGCTCTGCCCCAGGAGTGTTTCAGAGGGGCCCACTGTGTGCTCGGTCTCTGAGTCGAGGGCTAACCACTTGCAACAAGACAGAGAATCTTTCAAAGTATGGTTTCTTTGAGTCTAGCAGAGACCAGTTTCCCAGCAGTCCCCGGGAGTGGCCCTGTCCCTCAGCGTCTCACAGTCACTTGTTCCCTCCCTCAAGCATGCCCTCGCCTGGAACCTGCTGCGGGTTGCAGACAAGTGCGCCTGTCCGCCCACCACGCCTGCAGCAGTGTTGGCCCGAGTGTCTTGGTTCCGCAGGACTAGAAACTTAGGTTCTCACGTTTGGGGAGGCTAGAAGTCAGAATGCTTGGTGCTTGCTCTCTCTGCCCCTCAGTTCCTTGGCAGCCTTCCTGTGCCGTGTATACTAAATGGGAAACACAGCACTAAAAAGATCATGGTAGGAAAAAAGGGCAAACTTAGGGACCTGAACTGATAGCAAACATAGTCTCTCAAACGTGGCTGAAAATGAAGATGCAGCAGAAAAAACACCAGATGACTCAGACCTAAAAATTAAGCACTTTAGCGCATCAAATGAGTTTAAAAAGAACTCACAGGATGTGAGCATGTTTTGACAACAGCATTATCTGACAAGGGACTATGATCCTAAAATTTTGTAGAAAACTTCAGGTCATCGACAAAGAGACCATTTGGTTTCTTTTAAGGGGCAAAAGACATGAAGACATTTAACCAAAGAAGATATTCAGGCTGCTAACAAACAAAGAAAGGCTTGTTGGGGGCGCGGGGTGAGGGGGGTGCTATGGTCGTTAACCATTCAAAAATGAAAATCCAGTGCCATGGAGTCAATCCCAGTTCAGAGACCCCATAAAATAGGTCAGATCTTCTCCACAGGGTTTCAGAGCCTATCAGTCTTTACTAGTACCAACAGCCTCATTTTTCTCCCCGGGCTGGCTTGTGGATTTGAACTACCAGCCTTGCAGCTAACAGCCCAGTACATAACCCACTCTGCCAACAAAACAAAACAGCAAACTGGCAAGAATGTGGTGAGATTGGAACTCTTGTGCACAACTAGTAAGGTTGTAAAACGGAACAGTCACTACAGGAAAACAGTAGGGCACTTCCTTAAAAAGCAAGAACTAGAGGTTCCATATGCCTCAGCCATTCCATTCCTATTATGTGTCCTAGAGAAATAAGAGCCGTGACACAGCAGACAGATGCACACCTGTGTTCATCCCAGCATTCCTCACACTAGTGAAAAGATGGAAACAGCCCACGTACCCATCGCTGCTGGGTGGTTAAACAGACGTGGTGCCCACTGGTGGGTGCACACCGTGTGAAAGAATAGCAGTGGCTCCGCCGTGGTGTGCCTCACAACGTGGATGGACCTGGAGGAGAGACCTTATGCTGAGTGAAGGAAATCAGAAGTCAGGAAGGAGAAGTAGTGCATTGGAACCACAATCATACAAAAATCAAGAAAAAGTTTATAGAATTCTACAAACATTCTTGGATGGAAACGAATGTGCTCTGTAAACTTTCACCCAAACCACAATAAAATGTTCAGTAATAACAAAATACAGCATTTTCCTTATAACAAACAAAAGAATTTGTGTATTTAGCCACAGGAGGCAATATTGCTCAAGATTTTGCTTGGTTGCCAGCCAAATTGGAGGGAGTAATAGGCATGCATCAGCCTGCATCAGCCGAGTCCCTCCTGCTGGTTTCTGCACCCCTTGACTTTATGCATGGTGGCCTCAGTCAGCCACAGCTGCTGAGTAGGGTCTCCTGAGTTTGCAAAGTCCTAGCCAGGTTCCCTTCCCTCTGGCCTTTTCTGTCTCTCTTCCATGTCATCTTAGCCGGGCAAGTTCGCTTTATTAAGTAAAATGCACAAAGAAGCCCAGCTAGCCCTTCGTTGCTAGTGAGGGTTATGCAGCAAGTTGTTCTTAAAGACTGATTTCCCCGGGCTCTGGTTGGATCTCTGCCTGTTGCTCTGTAAGTAGCCACCCCAAAGCAAAAAAGCTCCCCCGGCAGTGATTGCCTCAGTGTTGTTGTGCAGCAGTGCGTCCCGTTGATCCGCCCTCCTGACACCCTCCGTACAGCAGCATGAAGCCCCACCGGCCTCGGGCCGTGCTCACACCGCTGCTGTGTTTGAGCCTGTGACTGCAGCCACCTCGTCAGTTCAGCCCATCCAGGGCCTTCCTGTGTGTTGCTGCCCTTCCGCTTCACCAGGTGTGATGTCCCTTTCCAGGGACTGGCCTCTAGATAACATGTCCAAAGTATCAGTCATCATAGCTACCCTGTGTGACCAGCGCCTCTAGATCCCTGGTCTGTGAGGGCTCTGGAGCGCAGGGGAGTGTAGTGAGCTTGCAGAGCTCATAAAACGAGTGTAGATGGCCAAGAGTTCCACTCCGGTTTCATCTGGATGCCTACTATGCTCCTGTTGTTCCCCCTTCCCCCAAAGAATGTGGCACCCTTACCCTCTCCCCTACCCCACCCCACACACACCAAAAGATGTTCATGGCACATCCAGGTTGCAGCCTAGGACCATCGCCGGCTCCTCGCAGACCACTGCCTGAGTCCTCCGTCTCGGGCCCTTAGAGGAACCTGACAGCCCGGAGGCCTGGGTCGATGCGCTGTGACTGGCAGGATTAACTTCTAATGGGCATATGGCCTGTCTCCTGCAGGTATTTTGAAGGTGGCGTCTCATCTGTTTACCTCTGGGATCTGGATCATGGCTTTGCGGGAGTGATCCTCATAAAGAAGGCTGGAGACGGATCAAAGAAGATCAAAGGCTGCTGGGATTCCATCCACGTGGTGGAAGTGCAGGTACGGCCCTGAGCAGCTAGAGGCCGGGGTCTGGACGTGCACGGGGCACACCAACCAGTGCAGCCCCTTCTCGGGCAGAGGGCTCTGTAAGGGGCGATTCTGTGATACATAAACCCCGTTGATTCTAAAATCGCCCTGAGGCTATTTGCATAGAGGTCAGTCCACCGGTGCAGTAGTCATTGGTGGTGGTAAGGATCCCCAAAGGCCTTCATACACATGGTTTCAGGTTCTTTCTCTTGAAAAGCCAACAAGGTTTGGGAGGGAAGGTGCCATGTGGTAACGAGTTAGGGAGGCCCCGCAGGGTTGTGGCCCAGGATATTTAGATGATCTGATCTCTCTGCCTCGTCCCCCCAGGAGAAGTCCAGTGGCCGTACCGCCCATTACAAGTTGACCTCCACAGTGATGCTCTGGTTGCAAACCAACAAGTCTGGCTCCGGCACCATGAACCTTGGAGGCAGCCTTACCAGACAGGTAGGGTTATGTACTCGTGGTGCCCCCGGGGCCCCTCAGATGAGTGAGCAGCTTCCCCCAAGAGGGTCCTAGGGCAGCCTCTGTGCCTGGTGCTCCCATGCTGTCATATTCTCTCCTCTCCTCTCTCTCTCTGCCTGGTGCTCCCATGCTGTCATATTCTCTCCTCTCCTCTCTCTCTGCCTGGTGCTCCCATGCTGTCATATTCTCTCTTCTCTCTCTCTCTCTGCCTGGTGCTCCCATGCTGTCATATTCTCTCTTCTCTCTCTCTCTCTGCCTGGTGCTCCCATGCTGTCATATTCTCTCCTCTC